CCCCAACCGGTCGCAGCAGATGGCCCCGCCCCTCCCTGAGCCTGGTTCTGCTGGAGGTTTCTTCCTGTTAAAAGGGAGTTTTTCCTTCCCACTGTCTCCAAAGTGCTGCTCATAGGGGGTCATATGATTGTTGGATTTTTCTCTGTATCTATGAAGCGCCTTGAGGCGACTTTTGTTGTGATCTGGCGCTATAGAAATAAAATTGAATTGAATTCATGTCACTGTCCCCGTGTCTCTCTAGCTGGCTCACGCTGGCTACACGTGTTGTTGTTTTTTGTTTTTGTTTTCTGTCTCTCCTCCTCCTTTCTGCCTGGGTGGAGCTCGTTACGGGCTCTCGCTCTTGGCCCACCACCTGTGTGATTGTGTCCACCTGCTGCTGATCTGGCTGATTTCCCCATCTGCTATTTAAGGCAGTGGCACAGAACAGCTCACCGCTGGAACGTTGAACCTCCTGAGTTCGTGCTCTCGGCATTATCAAACTAATCCCCTGTGTGTATTTTACTGTGGAACTAACATTGAATTCTCTGTGTAGACATCCCTCTTCTGGACCAAATCACGGGACCTGCCCGGGTGTGGCAGCGTGTGTTGAGTTTCGGAGCGAGTGCGGCTGAAGAGGAGTGCGTGTATATGTATATATTATAAATAAAATAAATAAATAATCCCCTTTTGTTCTCAAAGAAAGAACTGTCTGCGCGTGAGTCTGTCCAGTAGCCATGACACTTCAGGTGTCAAGCCAGTGTATATCCTGTATATTTACTTTGTGTTGGAAACCCAGTATTATCAATATCATGTTGGTGTGCATGTAGTAAAAAATGTCTGCCATTGCAGTAGAACTAATGGAGATTTAAAATAAATATTAAAGCGTTTTTGTCTAATTTATACTTTGGTGTTTTTGTCCACATTTTTTACACCATTACTGGAATCAGGGTTTGTACTTGGGCTTAAACATTACTTGACTGGATAAGATATCAAACATTATTATGTTCCTATATGGTTTTGGCTACAGTGAATAGGTCAATAAGAGTTTCTCTAAGTGGGAGGATATAATTTTATTTAATAGCTTCCAACGTGTTATATAAAACCTCTCTACACCTTTAAGAGCTGCAAGAGCACACGTAATTTATTTAGTCAGATTTGACTGGAGAACACCTTCCCATTGGACTTTTTAAGGGATATTCCACATTCCTTTGGGTGTAAGAATTCATCTTACCTGGATCCCATACTTGTCCAAGGTCCAGTGGGTCTTGAGCAGCCAGCATTTCCTCTGTTCCCACCACAAAGCATGGTCCGACCAATCCTGAGGAGCCTCTGCAAGGCAGACGTATTAAGTAAGACATTTTATCACCCGCATATTATTATCACATGTCAGGTTTAAGGGGTAGTTCACACATAAAGTTATTGCACTAATTTACATGTCGGGTTTAAAGAGCCTTCAGGGGGAGGTTCTGGCTCCATAGGTAACATACTTCACCAACAACTACATCTGCTAGCGTCACAAATATTTTCCGCTCCCACGGTTGTGTAGGTGGTGTGGTTTAATGAGTCTACCTGACATCATCTTATGGTGCTGGGCTGAAATCCATCTGTTGATGACAAGCCGCTTAGTCATTTATTATGTCCCATGCTCTTTGAATCACCTCCATAAAGTTGCCTTCAAGTTAGCCACATTAGCTCCTCTGTGTTTATAGAGGAGCGTAAATTGATATCAGATCAGAGACTGGCTGAACTTTGGCCCCTGGGGCTACACAAGTTGGCGCACTGTGACAACACAATGGCACTGTAGTGTAGAAGAATGCAGCTCAAACAAGGGTGCGGCTTGGCCAGCAGAGCTGTTGTAGCACCACATGCAGGTTGAGGTTGTTTGTTAGCCTTTGTAGTTACACACTTTTAAAATTCCTTCCAGCCACTATGCAGAAACACATCCGTGCTAAGCACACTTACTGATTTTCTCCACCAGCTTAAGCATGAGGCCACCGATGTGCAAGTCTCCCATCACCCTCATCTTAAATTTCATGGACTCGTCACCTTCCTTTTGATCCACCTGCACAGATAGCTGCCACGATGTTTCTCCATATTTTGCAGGTGTAGCCATGGTCCTGTTCTAAAAAGACAATGAAGAGATTATTTAAAAAAGGTGGGGGTGCTCAAGGGTTTAGTGAACGTGACCACAGGGGCACAGCACAGGGGATCTTAGAAGGAAACTACTATCTCTAATTAAGCACTTAGTGAGGGGAATTACTCTAAAATATGTGGATTATTTTGCTGATCCCGTTTGTTCGGATATTAAGGAAATGTCTGGGATTGAGTCAGAGGATTGAGTGTTTCTCAACATTCTGATTTACTTGGCAAAGATTTCACCACCACACATCCCTTACTGTTTCTGTCTCTGAGTGGCCGCGTATGGAGTAGATTCGAACTCTGCTTCTGCTGCAGTGTCTCTGCAATGATACTGCAGCCCCCGATCTACTCCCCTCACTCAATACCATTTATAAATAAGACACCAGCGAACACACCGACGGGCGGAAGAAAACAGATCAGACTGCAGAGCACGCAGCATGCGCTAACTAACGCGACACAACCTAGTATAACAGCACACATCTGGGGGATTGATTGGTTGATGATATTAATAAGGTAGAGTGATGGATGAAAGACACAAGGCAGATAAGAAAGGAAAGGGGGAGAAGGAGGAGCAGCACAGCTGTGGAATGTGTTACGAGCAGGGACACGAATCTGGTGCAGGAGAGATCATACAAAACAACAATCTCCACACACTGCACCAGCCTACATTTATATCACATCTGAGCTCTGAAATGTGGGAAATAAAGACATGAAAACTCTGACACAAACTAATCTGAACTATTCACCGCAACACTGTATATCAGTGACTTTTTGATACTGTGTTGTTGTGATGATGGATTTTTTTATATACACACACTCTGCTTTCTTTGTGCTGCTCCCTTCCTGCACTATGCGCTGCTGTAGGGTGCAGTAAAAAGTTGGAGCTTGCATGCCTGCTGAGGGAAAGCTTGTTGAGATGTGTCGGAGTATGATGAATTCACTGGCATAGTATTACACTAGCTGCAAAAAAAAACTGATGGAGACAGCAAATTTGTTTTAATGCAGAAGCTGTAATAAGAGAAAAGCAAATATATTCATGCAAAATATACAATTCAATGAGATCTCATATTGGAACTCCTCATACAGGACACCCACACCACGTAAAAAAAGGCCTCAGCGATTCCTTATTCAATGTAAATAGTCACTAAGCTCAGAAACAATCCTTAAATCATTCAAAAATTATGAAAAACGATAGAAAACTTTCTTTAGAAACTTTCATAAACAGAAACTTTCCAAGAATTCATGATTCCCAGAAGAGTCTTGGGGTGCATTTATCGCTGAGCCCTATATAGGCCTACGGATAAATCCCAACAGGGTCATCGCAATCATGTGTTATGATTTATTTTTTTTCGTCAGAGATCAAATTCCGTAGTAAAATAACGGTAACCTCTCCCCCTATCAAGTATATACAAATTTCCCAACCGAGAATAAGAAACCCATTCTTACCTTAAATTAAAGTTTCCTGCCAGTGAGCAATTCCTGGATATTTTCTTGGGAAGTGGACTGACCCCGAGAATGAGGCTCCTTTGGGAGTAAAACACGCCCAGTTCACACAGGTAGAGAACGGAGGTGGGAACGTAGGAGGAAGTGGCCGAGGTGCACGTAGCATAATATCCCACAGAGGTGAGTTTGTTCTCAGCCTCAGTATACGGACGGCTGTTTAACTGTTTTCAGCAAAATATGAGAAATAAAATGAATAAACTACCATACTGTCCGTCTCAGTGGTTAAAAGGTACAGACCAGCTAAAGCTAGCAAGTTTATCAATGCTAACAAAAATATTTCAGTGAACATACTCAGCCGCTCAGCTAATACTGTCACTTTGTTACCACTTTGTTATTGTGGAAATAACAAGAAAACGGCAGCTCTTAGTTGGCTCAAATAGAGATGTCAGTAGAACCAACACTGCAACACGAGGTTATTAAATTTAATTTGGTTTTACATTATACTAAGAGGTTTGTTTGTTGTTGTTTTAAAATGTACCTTCATAATTTACAGACTACTTGAAATGCTAATCATCTTTTTGAGAAACAAAAATTTTCACCATGGTACTGTTAATATCTTTTTACTAATAAGGACCAGGAAGACTATCGTACAAAAACGTCAGATTGTTACAGCTGCCCATTTTGGATGCAATTGTAAGAGTAGATGCGGGAAATTGTATCACTAAATATACATCATGCTAACCCACTGTGCCTCAAACTGAAGAAATCTTCAAAATAATGGCCTATGCACTTTCAGATTTGTTTAGATGTTGGGTATTTTAGGTTGTATATTCAAGGCAAAAATATTCTTTCTACTTTTCCAAGAGACCTGGCCATTCTTCCAGTGATAATTAGATATTATTTTCTGATGTAAATAAAAAGTAAATTTCACTCAAATATTATTACTCATGTAATATACGACCAAATGACAGAACAGAGCTTTGCAAAATAACACAAAAAAGGTGAAGAGCATTTTATATATTTATTTAAAAACGCATACTGTGTATATTTGTTTGTTTTTGTTTATTTGTCTACTAGACTACCTCTCATGAAAACAAGAAAAAATATATTTTAGAAATCTGTCAAAAACATGTTTAAAACTAGAAATCATGGAATTCACTGGATTGAATTCATGTTTTTATACCCAAATTTCAGCCGGCACATTGGAACTTCTTTGAGGAGACCAAAATAAATGAAGTACTAGAAATAAAATGAATTCTTTCTGTTCACAAATGCAAGTAAATAACTGTAACTTGGCGTTTTAATCAAAAATCAATAATTTGCCTTTTTTCTGCTGTTTTTTTCTAAACAGAAATTTTTAAAAATTCATGGATAACAACAATAATTGGTTTAACAATAGTAAAAAAAAGAATTTAAAAAAGATGTTACAGGTGTACATACATGTAAATTAACCATTACAGAAACATAAAAAATAATTTTGGTAATTACCAATACTTTTAATTTAGGGCAGCTGTGGCTTAACTAATATGTAGGGTAATATTGCTTTAACACATATAAAAGTCAGCATTTTATACAAAGAAGCATGTATTTTCATTTTAAAAGTGAAATATGTCTGTGTCATCATTCAAGCAAACAAGGTGCCTGTGATTGTAGCCGTTACAGTTGCCCTCGGTATGGCTCCCATATTACAATCTTGTATTTTAGCTAGCAGCAACTGCATTAGCACGGGTTGTTCATTGTCATTTTGTTCAGATAACCATGGGATAAAATTGACATTAGCTTAAATTTACAGATAATATTGTAGATCCAAAAAGAGACTTCCTCCTGCCAGTTTTGTCCTTGATAATTTCTGCACAAGTGAAGTAACTCTGCAGTTGTTCCACAGGTAGAAAGACAGTCTAAATGAGCAAGTACAGGTAAGTGTATCCATAAAGTGTAACCTGTTTCTTCTTTGAAGAAGTGAGCATTGCCCCTAGTCTTCATTTACTGCATTTAAATTGCTAACCACTGATTAATGGAGAGATAGACTGTCCTTTTTTCTATTGTTTTTACTATTACTTTATTGTATTTACATTTAAAGTTGCATTTATAAATGCATCCTTGCGTAAGGGTCGATTTGTAAGTTGTAATGTTTTCAACGGATGGTGTAATCCTAACAGGATTATTATTTTTGTTTAAATGGCTTTTAAAGTTACAGACCTCAAACAGCACGACCAGTTATATACCTCAAAGTGATCAGCCCACCTTCAATAATTCCCACATCCTCCTCAATGAGTGAATCAAGATGAATCATTTGAGTTTGCCTTTTCCACATAGTTGTACTGCCATCTTATGAAACACATCAGTAAGAAAGATGGTTAGCATTTTTTTTACCATTTGTACAGATGGTGTTCTACTGACAACCACCCAGCCACGCTGAATTACAGCCAGCTTTGTAGCTTTTAATATGTAGGTGTGTTTCGTGGTTTTTTGTTAGTCATTTAGGCATGAAGTGAGCCCATGTGTGTAGCCTGCCACCCCCTGGTTTCTATCTATACTTTCGCCTCAGAGTGAAATGGATTCTAAAACTGGGCAGGGACATCAACCTCATGTCGCCACCATAGGAAAGATGAATGTGCTAACTTTCCTATACAGCTGCTTTCGTATAAGTCAGATTTATGAAATTCAAGCTGTTATATTTTAAGATAAATGTCTTTAAATTGAATGAAAGAGCATCTCCTTCATGGAAAAGGACGTAATAACTCTGTCACATCATCAACACTGTGAACTTTGACCTATTAGATCTTGTCAGCCTAACAACAGCTTTTTCTATCAGAAATTTTATACTCCCGAACTGTATCAATTATATCTCTTTTTACACATATGCATTGGTTGAAATACTGTTAATGACTGCACGTATTTGCAGAGAGACAAATGCAATTTGAAATCATTGTCAGTCTTGTTGAAGGAAATGATGGCCCTTCAAAACCTGATAACACCTCTGCTACCACATGGTGGCGCCATTTGACCACACCAGTGTTGGAAGAGAGAAGGCTTGGAGGCATTTCTTTATTTAAATGACTAAATGAAACAGTAAACTAAATAGCGTTTTTAACATTTGAATTCATGTTATATAATGGACAAATATAATTCTGAGTCAGCATTTAAAGTAGTTAAAATTATGTCACTTCATTATTTTTGTTTTCTTTTTTAAATTTTTATTAATTGATTTTATTTTATTTTTGCTCTGGAGACAGAAAGAAAGACCTGACAGTGGCCACTAAAGTTACCACAACATTAGATGGAGTTAAATCAACTGAGATAATGCAAATAAAGTTGTTTGTAATATCTCAAAAGGAGACTAATGTTGCTTTCTAATTGTGCAAGCCATCTCTTGGTTCACAAAAACTTGTTTTGTTTTGCTTTTTTAGAATAAAAATCATATTTTTAGATTAACTGAGAGACTACTGTTACTTGTCCCATCCGAGTCTGGTGTCTAGTCCAGAAGAACAGCCTAGAAACTGGAAAGTACTCATGGACCACTCAGCATAGCAGGATGAGTGCCAATGCGGGCAAAAACCTTGGCACTCAGGTTGAAGGACACTTTCTCTGGCCTTGTGACCATTTTATTCAATTTTTTTTATCACACACACCAAAGACTAGGTGTAGCAAACATGCATGTGAGTTTGTCAAAGCTCTCTGTTTTTGCTGTGAGTGTTTAGTGCTGGCACACGAGGTTGTGTTGAGGCCTTATGCAAGAGAGGAAATGTAAATTCCATGACAAAAACAAACAAATAAACCCTGAGCCTCATAAACCGTGTCATTGGTTTAAGGATAAATGGAAAATAACATAATTTGGACCTGTCAAGGCTGGACACCGTGCCCATGTCATCATGACACCTGTGGTTCTAAGAGCAACTTGGTACACACAGTCCGAGCTGGAGGAAAGGACAAATGCTATGCTACGCTGCCTGGGAGAATGATAAAATGTAGTCTTTAGAGCAATGAAGAGAAAGAGAAGGAAGGCTTTTGGACTGTGGTTTTAGACACAATAAATTACATCTACTCCCTGAAGCTGGTCTGAACCTACTTGGAAGCGGGTGGGAAACAACATCTGTAGAAGCCTTCGCCGGTGCTCTGTATTTATGGAAAGAGAAACCTCCCGGTGACCTGGGAACACGCTTACCCAATTAGCAGCCTCGCCGACGGATCAAATGGAAGTGAAAACATTCACTGCCGTGACGGAGACGCATCACAATGCTCCATTCATGCTGTCGAGCCCTATGCTTTGGGGGTGAGGTGGGCTCGGGGAGGGTGAAGGGGTGTTCTTTGAGGCATGTGATGGGGAGGTGGGATAGGTGAGAGGGAGTAACGAATGCAACAAGGAACTGACTTACCTCACCGTCTTCTTTGACATGTCAGCGGAGGCCTCATTCATGGCTTAATACTGATTCAAACACTGTTCAAAGGTGTTGTTTTTATAAGGTTATATCCCCTGCACCTATGCCTCTGCATCCTGCTGAACTCTCCATTTTCTCCAATCCAACAAAACCACATGTTTTGTCCTGTGGGACTAGGTGCTGAGGGGGTCAGAAACCCTGAGAAACAGCACAAGAGAGGCTCTTGACAGTGCAGGACTCTGGGGAACAAAGGCTAAACATCCTTGTGGCCTGCAGAGTGTTATCGTTTTTTTTAAGCTGTTAAAATCATGTCTGCTTCTTGTGAACTGATTTATTTTTAAGCCATGGATTCCCATAGCTCTCATGAAATTTCATACCGTTATTTATTTAAGTAAAAACAAAGTGGGGAAAAAAAACTCAACAAAGAAGAACATGCGGGGTATTTGTTCTGTAAATGTCAGCATCATTTTGAATTCAGTCAAGAGAGTTGAAGCAGGCGAGGTGTGATCATCAATAGAGAATATATATACTGATGTACAGTGTAACACACAGTGACTAAACAGTCTATGAGTTGATGAAAAGTGCCTGTATAAGTAGCTCCAACGCCACCTCTGATAGATTATGTAATCCTTAAACTGCACTGAAAGCCCTGCAGAAAAGCTCTTTTATTTTTAAAACAATTGTTTGTTTATACAGGTGCAGCTAAAGGTGCTTTAGTAAAAGGATCTTACGGTCGTGCTTGAGAACCACTGGACCCTTGTAAAA